CTAATTTTGATACCATCCCCTCCTTTGCTGCTTGTTTCCCATTAATTCCTATTAAATTCACCATCACCAATCACCTCTATGCTACAAGGCTGGATTTGAGCACAAACCGGGCCTGTCAGACTCACACACACAAGTGTTTTCTGATCTGCTGTCTGCAGAAAAAGCAAATGTGATATGTCAAATATTTCAGATGCTATAGTTTTAACCATTATTATTATTTCTTTTTACTGCTCGAGCTGTAACCCCTTTACATAAAAAAGAATTTGTGAAGCTTTGTGCTGCGAGTCATTACAGTATCATAATGCTGTGATACGCTGTGAAATGCAAACATTGATTGATAGAAAGGAACTGAAGTCCTTCATTTGCAACATGAATGCTCTGTAGTTTCAGTCTTATAGCATCTGCTCCCCCCAACTGGTTGCCCTTTACTCTTGGTTAAGTACAGTCAATTACATTAAATTGACCCACTAATTTACCTAGCTAGATCTCAGTTGGATTCAAAAAGGTTTATTGAGATGGGTAGTCTCTAAAGTATGAATAGTAGTTAATACCTGTCATGGTAGTGGAACATGATTTTAAATTTTTACAAGCATTATATTGTTTTATCCAACTTTATATTTTAGTGCAATTACAGTCTGTTTCTGAGAAAAAAAATTTCCCTTTCTAATTGTGCCTGGAAAAACATACACAGGAAAATTGGCAATATAACTGTTATTTGTGGTGTAATGCCTGGTTTCTCCACCTGTGGTATCTGTACCTCAGGGTGTACGCAGGGGTGTATTTCCCACGAGGCTAACAAGGGCCTTGGGTGTCATTTTTAGGGGGGGCGGCAAAAAAGTCGCCCCCAAAGCACCATGGCAGATGCCCTGTTAGCCTCTTTCATGGGCTGCCCAAGAGCTGGCCAACTGGCCCCCTCAGGGCTTCCCGAGGCTTTAAAATGCTCCCAGTGTGGCCTGGGGTGGGGGCTCTTCCTGCTCAGCTCCCTCATGCCCCGCAGTGATGCTGGGAGCCGGGATGTGACATCACCCAGCTCCTGTCATCTACTGAGCGGCACACGAGGGAGCTGAGCAGGAGGATTACAGTTCCCTTGCTGCCACAACTGAAAGCCTGCATGCCCTTCTGCCCAGCATGCCCAGCCAGAGAAGCAGCCAGCCACCCACCAGACCAGCAGCCAGCTCCACTGGACCCTCGGGGAAGAATCCACTCCAGCTCTCCCAAAGGTAGGGAGGCTGGGTGGATTAAAATTAATATTTTTAAAATATCTATAATACTTTGTAAGTGTGTGAATGTGTCAGTATCAGGGGATCTGTCAGTGAATGTGTGTGTGTGCCTGTAAGTGAGTGTGTGTGTGTGTCTATCAGTGAGTGTGTGTGTGTGTGTGTGTGTGTCTGTCAATGAATGTGTGTGTATGTCAGTGAGAGTGTGTGTGTGTGTGTCAGTGAATGTGTGTGTCTGTCAAAGAATGTGTGTGCCGGTCAGTGAATGTGTGTGTGTGTGTGTGTCTGTCAGTGAATGTGTGTGTGTGTCTGTCTGTCTGTCTGTGAATGTGTTTGTCTGTCAGTGAATGTGTGTTTCTGTCAGTGAATGTGTGTGTGTCAGTGAATGTGTGCATGTCTGTCACTGTGTCCGAGTGAGTGAGTTTGTGTTTGTCAGTGTATGGCTGTGAGTCTGTATCTGTTAGTGAGTGTGTGTGTCTGTCAGTGAACGTGTGTGTCTGCCAGTGTGTCGGTCAGTGAACGTATATCACTGTATGCGAATCTGAGCGTGTGTGCCTGTCAGTGAATGGATGTCTCAGAGTGTGTCTGTCAGTCAAACTGCGTGTTCGTCTTAAACAGGTAGGGGCGGTGCAAATTTAGATGGGGTAGTGGGTGCCCGAGTTTTGACATGCCTAGGGCAGAACATATCCAAAATACACCACTTGGTGTATGCACGCCAAAATGCCATCAGTCACATGGCGCGCAGAGGCAGGTATCTAATTAGGCGAGTTAGACAGTTTCCAACCCCTGCCAAATTGGATAGCCTCCTCACCTCTGGGGTCACAGGTGTGTGCAATGCCCCATTCTAAACTCTCCCTGGCGGTCTCTGGCATAATGACATCATCCAATGACGCCACCCACGTGTTGGTTTCTGGGTGATTGGGAAGGACGAGTTTGTGTTTGAGGCCAGCCTCATACTGACTTTGACTGGTTTTAGATGCAATGGGAAGGGCTCAGCTTTCTGCCTGCCAGACAATATTTGCATTTACAGGGACAAATTAAGTTTGGAGTGTTTTAAATCCAGTAAATAATAACTAGAACAAATAATGTAGGCAATCAACAAACATTGGGAAAATCTATTGAAAATGGAGTCAATTACATTTATTTACACTAGCTTGTACTTTAGTCCCTCCAAAATTCGAAATTGTAACAGATGCAGGAGGATTGGTTTATACTGGTGCTTGGTAGCATATCCCGTTGTTGAATTTTGACCCTAATGGGGGGCTAATCAGTTTGCTTTAGCATTGGTGATAGAATGTAGGTCTAATACAAGGTATCTATTAACTGCGTAGGAATACCAAATACTCAAGAAAAATGTAGATAACAACACATAATCACGTATTACAATTTTAACCCTATCATTGAGGATTTGTTTTATTTTCAAATACATAAAACACGAGGTTCTGCTTTCTGATTTACTATTCTAAACTTTGCCCCAAACCAATATGTTGATATGTCAGTTTCCTCTCTGTGTAAATGTGTGTGTGTTAGTATTCTCTGTGTGTAAATGCGTGTGCCAGTGTTCTCTGTGTGTAACGGTGTGTGTCAGTGTCCTATGTGTGTAATTATTATGTGTGTGTTATATTTTCATTTTATGACTTCTATACTTCAGATTAATAAGTCATACAAGCCTCTTTACATTTACATTATGTCATATTTATTTTTGAAAATATTCTTTTGTACCGTTAATCAGGCATGATCTCCATTATGGGGTTAACTCAAATATCATTGTCTACACATCTCATTTGGAATTTACACGTTTCATTTGGAAATTACTGTCTCGAGGCCTGGGTACTAAGGAATTTATTTTAAATATGCAGAGCTACTTCTCCGTAAAAAGGTTGAGAAACCCTAGTGTAATGTACTTGTGGTCCTTGTAGCAGACCTGTTCTTTGGGGAACTTACATACAAATTCTCATAAAAAAAAATAGGGTGCCAGGATGCTGACATTACCTAAAGAGTTATACCCGGTTTTTAAATTCCTGGATTAATTGGCCATATTTTTGCTTTACTGTTCCTTTAATTGCTCAGATTGAACGTATACAATTAGTATTATTGTCCTCTTGCCTAAATTCAGTATGACTTGTTAAGCAATCTGAAATGCTTTTAGTCTTGCATGCAGCATATTTCATTATTTACTCAGCAACAGTTATAGCATAAAATTTATTTATTTATTTGATTTTGGTCTCAGACAAAGCATAAAAAGTCCTAATAAATTAAATGTAAAACACATTTAGATCCAAACAAATAGCACCTAGTGTATGCACAACATTTACTGCAGCATACAATATATAATGCCTGCCCTGATTAGTAGAATGTAAAAGGGTATTTGATGCAATTTCTATAATTTCTGTAAAATAATGCTGGAATTCCGTATTGCCCTTGATGTAATAACAAGCTAAAATAAGAATTTATTATGGATTTATAGAAAATGTACGTATTTTTTTATTTATTTATTGCTGAGGTTGTATGCAAATTGAAACTCATGTTTGGATTTTTTAATACTCTTACACCCCTAGATTTAGAGACTCAGTGTCAGAGAAGGTATCCTGCCTGAATTGTGTTTCCTTGCTAAGTGGGAAGATTGATTATTCAGCACCCACTGCTCTTTTTGGGAAAGGCGCCTTGGGAAGCCCCCAGTCACATTGCATTAGAGGCATTTGTTGGCCCTATGGGGGTGCTATGTCTGTGAGCAGCCTAACTGCATCCTATTTGACTGCTGTCTCCATCAAGCATAGTGCTGAGTCTCCTAATTAATGCCACGTGTGGCAGTGTACTGTCAATCCATATCAATGTTGAGCAAGCTATTAAAAACTGGATTTTTAGATCTATGTGGGGGGGGGGGGGTCTGTTTGTAAGTCATGGCAGCTTCAGTTTTATACAAATATGAGAAGTTGGGGTTCACAAAGTATTTGTATATGGATGCTTAACCTTTTTCCCCGAAATTGTCAGTCTTTGGAGGAATTGTGGCTTCAGGTAATATATGTCAGCCATACCTAATTCCTGTTGCTTTTTCTAGAATAAATTCAATGTTAAACTTCTGCAGTAAGAATCCAGAAAACAAAAAATCAGATTTTCAATCATGTAAATAATTTTCTACTGGGTATAATAAATAATTCAATTCTGTTTGACTTTATCGCCCATCATTTTTAGGTCTGCCTGTGCTAGCAAAATATTATAGGACGTGTTGAGCACCTATAGACAGTGGGCAAAACCTAAGCATTAGTTTCTAAGTGCATCCTATCCAGCTCAATGGAAAGTATGAGAATACAATATTTAAATGTGTAATAATACAAGTAATAATGTCCAAAAAAATAAAGTTCAAATCTGCTTTTCAATATACATATAATAAATGTGGGAAACCATGCCTGAAGTGGTAAAGCAGGTAAGGTAGTCTCGGAATGGGTTAATGGTACGTCTGACTCTGTACTCACTCATATATTCCTTTAATCATGTGCCAGACTAGAGGGTTTCACAGTGAGCATATGGGAGGAGGGAGAAGGGGGAGCCATCTCTGAGGCTCTAAGTGACTGGAGACCACGGACAATTGAATTCTTATTGACATCCGCGTCTGAGTGTTCACCTAAAGGACTTGACTTGTGGGCCAGATCATTCTATTAGGGGCTCCTGTTGGACGTAGTCGGCAGCTCAGAGATCGATCGTAATATCTTTTCAGCTTGTTTGTTTTGTTGATTTCTACAGTAAGGCTTTGAAGGATGCTGTAGAACTGGGTTCACAATCCAGGAGAGGACTCCATAGTGTCTGCGGACATTAAATTGATTCTCCAAAGTGTAGTTTCTATGTTAATCTATGGAGACTATGAACTGTTTTATTTAATGTTTTTCTTGCCTCAGTGCAACATGCTTTGCAGAATAACATTTAAATTGGAGAGCTTGTACTTTCCACTAGACTTGGAAGTATGTTTCTTTTTGGACTGCAATTTGTCTGAATGTGGGCTGATTGAGTGAATGTCCGAATTCCCGAATTCTGAACTGCCTTATGGACTATTCATGAACCAAATAACATGCACTATAGATGAGCATGTTTGCTTGATTCATGATTTGAAGGTCCCACTGTTGCGCTATAAAAAAAAAATGGTTGATGGGAATAAAAAGATTATTGATGGCTACAGGACAGTCACTAAATGTTGATTTTATTTACAGATCAAGAAGTGACTAATAAATGGAAAAAAGGAGGAGCTGTAAAATAAAAAATATATATATTATATGTTTAATAAATATATTTATCATGTAGAAATATGGATGTATTGTTTCTATTCTTTTTCCCTCTATTGGTAACTTTTTCTCACTTTATGTGCGAACCAAATATTGAGTGTACTGCAAAATATAACCTGTTTAGTTCGTCTGATTAGTTTTCCAAACTCTTTTTTGGGGATGAAATTCTGACGAGCCAAACAACCGCATATGCACAAAATTCAGCTGTCCTGGAAAAACAAATCTGAAAGTTTATAGAACATTTCCATTTAGTAGCTGCACCAAGTAAATGAAAGAAATACTTCAAGCACTATAACCTCCACTATAGTGGTTATGATGTCAGGAGTGCCCTGGCACCCCTCCATTGTAAGGAGCCAAACCATTTTGTGGTATAAATACTACAGCTGGTGAGAAAAGACAGTCAGAAAAAAGCCAGTCAAATGAAACCTCTCTGAATGCTGAAAAGGAAATCAGAAAATCTGGATTACCTACATGCTCACTCAAATACATGCTAACAATTCTAAACATCTCCATAACAATCTTATTAAGATTCCTTTCAAAATTGCAAAGAGAAATTTAATATATATAAGTAATAATGTGTTCTTTGAATTTCTGTCTTCAAGCCCACTTATATTTATCTTCTCAAACAGGGCCAGTGCAAGATCATTTTACGCCCTAGGCAAGACCAGCTACTTGCACCCCTGCACAGCCAAAACAAAAATTGCCAACTTTGGGTGTCTTTTTCTTCCCCCAGACCTTTTGTGTAAATCTTACTCCCTCAACTCCTTTGTGTGTCTCTTTTTCCCCCCAAAGCCTTTATGTATGTCTCTGTATCCCCCAGCCCTCTGTGTGTCTCTTTCTCACCACATACCCTCAGTGTGTCTCTTTGTTGTCCCCCAGCCCCTCTGTGTGTCTCTTTCTCCCCACACACCCTCAGTGTGTCTCTTTATTGTCCCCCAGCCCCTCTGTGTGTCTCTTTGTCCCCCCTCAGCCCATGTGTGTTTGTATTCATCCACTCTCAACTCTCTGTGTGTCTCTTTGCCCCAGTGGCGTCTCAAGGATTAATTTTTAGGGGGGCACATGGTGGACCAGGGACAAACGTAGGGGGGCAGTAATACAACATGTATGTATGTGTGCATTTACAAACGCTCTCTTAATCCCTCTGCAAACTGCAGTCTCAGCCAAGTAGGTAATGTGTCACACCTTAGATGTAGCCGTACTGTCCATTCAGCTCACATCTACCCCATGGATTGAAGAATCCATGTCTTTTTTTAACCCCCCTACCATCCATGTTTCTGTTCTTCATCCTTTCGTGTTTTTTCTCCCCCCCTTCTTCCATGTCGTGGATGTAATTTGTAATGTATGCAGTGTGTGTATTGAATACATTGTGTGGGTGTAGTGGATGCAGTTTCTGTGTTTGTGTAGTGTAAGTAGTGTTTGTGTGGTGGATGCAGTGTGTCTAGTGGATGCAGTGTCTGTGCATGTAGTAGTGACTGTGTAGTGCATGTAGTGTTGGATAAGTGCTGGGGCTTAATCCCCCCAACCCCACCCCCACCCCCTGCCTTTTACCTGTGGGCTGGAAGGGGAGAGACAGTGTGTAGGAAGGAGAAAGGTGACAGTATAGGGGGGCAGTGTGTAGGAAGGTGACAGTATACCAGGGCAGTGTGTAGAAAGGTGACAGTATGGGGTGCAGTGTGTAGGAAGGTGACAGTGTGGGGGAGCAGTGTGTTGGAAGTACACAGTGTGGGGGGCAGGGTGTAGCAAAATTACAGTGTGGGGGTAGGGTGTGGGCAGGGACGGTGCAAGGATTTTTGCCGCCCTAGGCAAAATAAAAATTTGCCGCCCCCCATGTGACATTACAATGTCCCACCCATATCATCTGCCATATGAACTAACTCCAGTGCTGCACACAGTGTGTGTTTACATTAAAAAGCTTTCAGGGACAGGCTTTAGACACCAGAACCCCTTCATTTAGCTGCAGTGGTTCTGGGAACTATAGTGTCCCTTTAATGTGAGGTAAATTAGAGATTAATGTCACTAATAATAGATTGCATACTTACAACCAGATGAGGATGGTGATTGGCTCTGGCTGCAGTTTGGCTCCACTGGTCTGGTGTAGAACAGGATCTCTGGAGGCTGTTTGTAACTGTGGTCACAAAATTCAATGTTCTGGGAGAACGGGAAGCAGCTCCATTTTTTTGGGCCCCTTACACAGCTGAAAGTCAGGGCCCCAGGGTCTGACGGTGAGTATGCCCATAAGGCCCACCCATAAGTCCACCTACATGTTCCACCCATGAATTCGCTCACAGAGAGTGGAGTGTGTAGGGAATGTGTTATGTGTTATTGTAGAGGATCTAATTTGTGTACTTATGGAATGTAGTGTATAGGGATACTAGTTTGTGTAGGTGATGCAGTGTGTTTGTGTGTAGTAGAAGCAGTATGTTTTTGTGTAAGGGATAGAAAGCAGCGTGTGTTTGTGTATAAAGGATGCATTGTGTGTTTCTGGTGACGCTCCCTGCAGCCACTTCCTATTATGTAAAAACCAAAGAAAAAAGTTACTGTAACGGAGCTCCCTGTACCCCTGGCTGGAAACCTCTGCCAAGGACTGCTTCCTAGCTGGAGAAGGGGACAAACCACAGCACTTCTGCCCACAGTCACCGTGGCTTGACAGGGGTCCATGGAACCATTCCTTCCTGGAGCCGAATGGGGAACTCGCTCTATCCACCCCCAGGCACTGGACGACACTCAGTCCTGGGAACTCTAGTCCTTACAAGGACTTTCCACGTTGAATCCTCCACACTGGAACAGTGATTATTGATTAGCCATGTATGTACGTAGTGGGGAATCGCAATGCAGCCTAGAACATAAACTAACCCTATTCAACCCCCCAATAACGACAGACCACTTAGTATGGATGAAACAGGCCACAGCATTTATTATCACAAACTAAATTACTGCATAACACATCCATAACTTTATTTATTAAATCTCTTCTTTTTCTGTAACCAAAAACGTTAGACATAAATAAGCATAAATTAACATATATACATATATAACTCCACACATAGTGTTATACAGTGACCCAACCGTCCTTGTCAATAAACATACAGTGGTTCCTAATCACCACTTCCTCTCACCTTTCCCCTCGTCATAAAATCATATCTTTCCAATGCCTGCCATCAGCCGACCTTATCCACGCTCGATGGGCACGACACCTAAGGCAACCTAATGTTAACCGTTTGAAGCAGGGGAGGTTGAGACCTTAAAAACTTGTTCATCTCATTCCATATACTTAAAGGTAAGCCCTCAAACTCAATTGGCAAGGACATACCCCCGCCACAACCCCGCTGTTTTACACCTAAAATCAGCGAGGGACCCCACTACAATCAGCCATGGCCTGTTCCACTACTTCTTGCAGCACTAGATTAACATAGAATAAATACTGCACCAGTAAACGAAATGACAATTCGGGATCAATCTAAAAAACACAAATAACATAACATAGTGCAAAATGTATATATATATATATATATATATATATATATATATATATAATGATAGACCCCTTATGTAGAGTAAAAGTCACAGGATTGAAAGCCGTCCCAAGCTCTACATAATATGCAGGAGGGTTCCTAAAAAGGCTAAAATTATATCCTTGAGGGGAGCAGCACAGGATACAAAGTGCAGAATCCAAAATGTATTAAACAAATAAACAATTAAAACATGTACAATAAGCAGTGTATAAATAGTAAAATATACTAGGCACAAAGCCTAAATAAAACACTGCAGAGTAAATAAGAAAAAGTCCCAGATACAATACTTTGGTCTAGCAGCAACCGCGTTTCAACTCCAGCTGGAGTCTTCCTCAGTGCACCATTAACATAGGCCTCGTCCGACCTCCAGCAAGCGCACCCATCCCCTCGAGATAACTAGGCCACATCCGGCCAAACCCTAAGGTGAACTGGAATCCCCCAAACCCCCAAGACAAACCTAGAAACCCATCTCATCCAATTCCCGACGGCAGCGCACCAGGGCGTTCACATTGCTGAGCGCACTGCCAACAGGAACGGGTGATAGCCTCAGCCCGGCCCCTGAAAACCTCTGGGAAGGAACAGAATGCGTAACATGCCCAGATGTAAGAGCACCCAAATCCAAAACAGCCACTGAACCCAGGTCATTCCACCCAGACAGATGTAAAAAAAACCAGCACCCCTAGGAGGCGGGACAGCTGACTCCGGACGAGGAGGAACCACACACCCCTCATGTATCTGGCGCCAGACCACCGAACCTCTGCTCCCGAAGGCGTAAGATCCAACCACTTTCCCCCCGCCTCCTGTCCCAATTACATATGAGCATCTCACCCTCCTTATTCCGGGGGGAGGGGGAGACAGTAACCGTGGAGAGAAATCCATTTGGAGACCGGCAGGGTGAACCCAAGGAACCTACCACCCTGACCCCCACCATTCAAGCCCTTTGAACCAGTGGCACAAGCACGCTCAGCCTGGCGGCGTCTGTAGCCGCCCCTAACCGGACTGAATGCCCCCTGAACTCTCCACCATTCTTACCCAGGAATTCTAGCCCCAATTGGAGCACCCCAACGACATGGCGAGAAAACCCGGCTTTGAGAACCAAACAAGGGGAGAGGAGGCCGAATAGCCCTCGCGGAAGGAAAACAGGACACATGTCGGAACCTGGCGCTCCCCCCAATTGGAACGGTATATTTCCAACTATCCTGGGAACCT